ATCAGTATTATAAAAATACAGAAATTAAAATTTATGTTCCTACTGCAGTCACCTGGGTTATGACACATGTAATCTGGTCCTCAGGGTACACTGAAGATGGAGGCAGTATATTCTTCTGACATGTCTGTGCACAACCACCAGACTACATGCTATCATAATGCACACCACAATGTATATATTTACCACCATGAAAACCTCAAATCTCACATGGGCTTGTGTTTAACCACATACTGCATGAAACTGTCAACAAATACCTAGCTTTAAAAAATGCAGTGCTAAAAGGTACTCCTGAATATCATTAACATGATTAAATTATTTTTCTTGCCCATTTTTCCAATCTATAAATATATGGCTGGACAGATATATCACAAATGCTCATCTGCTGCAAATTTACCTGTGACTCGGCACAGGATTAAGGTTGTAAAGAAAAAGACATTATAAAGTGCTACTAAAATGATGTCTAAAATTCTGTATTTGCTGTTTAAAATGGTAAAACTGAAAGGAAAATTATAGCAGTCAAAAATTTTTATTTTCACAACCTTCTTTAAGAACTTGCAATACATTTACAACTGAACTCTCTTCCTCAGATGTAACATCATGCAGTCTTGAAGATAACAACCATTGTTTCAATACTGAGGTATAGCTATGAATAATGGGAATAGTGATGAATAATGAACTGGATAGGATCTAGAAGTTGGCAGTTGTGGACTAATCAATACATTATCCCAGCATTTGTCAGAAGAACCTTAGTCAGAATTGCAGGTGTCAAAGCCAAGATTCAAACTGACCACATTTCATATGTAAGTCTAGGTTGTTACCTGTACACCAACCTGTGCAGTCACTGAATCTTTAAACGCCAGTTTTAATATGTCGACATGTCAATATGTCGAGTTTTGATCTATGAATTATTATATCACTACTCAAATTAACTATGATCAGATAAATTTAACATTTGTGACAGACAAAATTTCTGGGATTAATTACTGATGATACTCTTTCATGGAAACAGCATATTGCTTATGTTATAAATAAAATTTCCACTGCATGTTATGCATTGAGAAATATAAAATATATTGTCCCTTTAGATCAGGGGTCTCCAAACTTTTTGAACCGCGGGCCACATTAGGTAATCCAGCACTTTCAACGGGCCAGATAAAATGAGAAATCAATAACTCTGGGTATATGAGTTTTATTGAAAGCACACAATTTCATAAACTAAATACAAAGTACGTGAGAATAAATTATCATATATTAATGACAACAGACAGTAGCAGCAAATGCTCATATTTTCATCACAAATTATAATAAAACAATTAATGTGAATGATGGAACTCTTTTTGCATTCTTAAAATCTGATTAAATTGAGGTTCAAATTTTGAAACACTAATCACAAGTAGCGACCTTAAATGTTCATCAGATAAATTTGTCCTGTATTTCGACTTGATGTACTTTATCTGGGAAAAAGTTTGTTCACACAGATATGTCGCCCCAAAAATGGAGATAAATTTACAAGCA